TGGAGGTAGAGGTGTGTGGTGAGAGGGTTTCTGGGCTTTGATCCTGTTCTTTTTCTCTCTTATCGGTGTTAGACTGTTATTAAAGTGGGTATTGTTGGTCGTGTTATTGTACAGTGTGTCAGTGTCGGATAGTGAACGATAGTTTGGTAACTTGGTAATTTTGGCGGGAAAACTTCGTGGCGGTGTGTGGAGATGGCGTCTCTCCCCGGTGGCGGGGCGCCGTCTCTGTCACTCCGTCACGGGGTCAGGTGTGAGCCGGGGTCGGGAGAGACAGTGGAGGAGGTTCTGCTGGGAGTCGGGGAGCTAATCGGCTGTGAGAACATAGTCTCTGCGTCTCGGATGAACAAAGCTGTGGTGATCTTCCTGAAGGAGCAGAGCTTGGTGAACCGCTTGGTTGAGAGTGGGGTTAGGGTGAGTGGAGTGTTTTGCGCGGTTTCACCGCTTGTTGCTCCAACAATGAAAGTCACTGTTTTGAACGTACCGCCGTTCATTCTGAACGCTGACATTGAGCGCGAGCTGTCCCGGTTTGGGAAATTTGCCGGCTCGATTAAAATGATTCCGCTTGCTTGTAAAAACAGTGCCCTTAAGCACGTGCTGTCTTTCAGAAGGCAGGTGTTTATGTTTTTAGACGATCCAACTTTGGATGTGTCGTTCAGAGTTTGGCATGAAGGGCGGTCGTTCATGATTCATGCTACTACTGGGAGCTTAAGGTGTTTTGAGTGTGGAGACGTCGGGCATAAGAGACAGGCGTGTCCGCATAAAGTTAACAGGGAGGAGGCTATATGTGAGGTTAGGGGGGCAGATCCTGTGCTGCGTGAGTCACAGGTGCCTGGGACTAGTAAACAGGGGGTTTCAGAGATGGGAGACGGAGAGATACAGGTGAGCTTAGATCGGGGAGTTTTGCAGGAGGGAGTTATAATAGACACCCCTGTAGAAGACGTAACAGCTGGTGAAGAGGAATTGGGTGATGAGGATACATGCTCGGTGCTTTCTGGAATTTCTGAATTTCTTGGACGAGACTTTTGGTAGGGCGGTTGATGTAAAGGATTTTTTCCCGGGTGTTGACAAATTTGTCTGTTCAGTAGTGCGGATTCAGCGGAATGTTGGATACGATGCCTTGAGTGAAAAAAAGAGATTTCGGCTGAAAAAGTTCTTAACTAAATTACGGAGGGGTAAAGGCCCTGTTTCACTGAAAAAATAATATGCACACACTGCACAAGGTGCACTTCTTAACTCTGGTCTTTTCTCTGGGTCTGTCCTTCCTCTTTCCCTTTATTTGTGTGGAGCTTCTCAGAGTGGGCTCTTTAAATATGAATGGGGGTAGGGATAGGAACAAGTTAGAGATGCTCTCAGAGGTAATTAGGATTAGGAAAATTGATATAATTTTTCTACAAGAAACCCATTCTGATAGTGAAAATGAAACTGAATGGGGAATATGGTGGAAGGGCTCCTATACTCTTAGTCATGGGACTAACTCTAGTGCAGGTGTAGCTGTGCTGTTCTCCAATTCACTAGATGTGACTTTGCAGTCAACCACAGAACTTGTGAAGGGGAGGGTGCTTTTAATCAAAGCTGAGATCAGGGGTTTTCCTTTCTTTTTGTGAATGTATATGCACCGACTAAGGGCACTGAGCATTTAGAGGTCTTCTCAAATTTACACCATGCTCTTTCAGGATATAGTAATGCAGACATGTGTGTGGTAATGGGGGACTGGAACTGCACTACGCAGTTCACAATTGATAGGAATGGGGAGGAACCACATAGTCAGTCTAGTATTAAACTTGCAAGTTTAGTCTGAATGTGGTTTAATGGATGTATGGAGAGATAAAAATGAGGGAGTGAGGCAGTACACATGGTTAAAGGTAGGTGATTCCAGAGTGTGTGGGGCTAGGTTGGATAGATTTTATGTAAGCAAAGGTTTTAACAACAGGGTGGTGAGAGCAGGGGTAATTCCTGTGGGGTTTTCCGATCATCATATGGTCACTGTGGAAGTAAGAGTAACGGCTACAACACATGCAAATTGCTACTGGCATTTTAATGTTTAATTATTACAAGACAGTGTTTTTTGTGATAAATTTGCACTTTTTTGGTATAAGTGGAAAGCTCAGAAGCACTCTTTTGAAAACTTGAGTCAGTGGTGGGATGTAGGGAAGGTACAGATTAGACTTTTCTGCCAAAGTTACTCAGCACATACTGCCTCATCAGCATGACATTGAGAACCTGGAGAAACAAATAATTGGAAACAGTAGAATAGGGCTTCATAGGGAGCCAGCGGAAAAAAAAACAAGAGTTGGGATTCTATCTACAAGAGCAGGTGAAAGGGGCTTTAATACGGGCGAGGATTAGCTCGATTAAGGACATTAATGCACCTAGTGCTTATTTTTTCAATCTAGAAAGAAAGACTGTACAACAGAAGCAGATGACTTTTTTAAGGTCCACCAATGGGACCTTGACGTCCGACCCTGCTAAGATGAGGAGGCTGGCGGTGCAGTATTCTGCAGAACTGTATGGTGCTAAGGACTGTGACTCTGACAGCGCTGCAGACCTTCTTCAAGATCTTCCACAGTTGAGTCCAGGTCAGAGGAAGAAGCTGGATGCTGATATTACGTTTGAAGAACTTACAGCGGTGGTGAAGCAACTGTCTGCTGGTCGATCCCCGGGGGTGGATGGATTACCAGCTGAATTTATCAACATTTTTGGACAGATCTGGGACAGGATTTTTATGAGGTGGTACTGGAATGCTTGAAGACTGGTTTGCTCCCTACTAGCTGTCGGAGGGCAGTTTTGTCCCTACTACCCAAGAAGGGAGATCTAGGTCTTTTAAAGAACTGGAGACCTGTTTCACTGCTCTGTGTGGACTATAAAATACTATCTACACTACTACTAAGTGTCTGGCTAATAGATTGAAATGTTATTTAGACTCTGTGATCTGTAAAGATCAAACATATTGTGTACCAGAGAGAACGATTATGGATAATTTGTTTTTATTGAGGGATGTAATTGATTTGAGTTTAATGAATAATGATAGATTAGGGATTTTATCACTTGATCAAGATAAAGCTTTTGACAGAGTAGATCATGGTTATCTTTTTAAAACTTTGACAGCATTTGGATGTGGAGATAAGGTTGTATCTTGGCTTAAGCTTTTATATGCTGATGCATCTGTCAGCATATAAAAGTGGGTGGGGCTTTGAGTGTGAAGGTGCCAGTACAGAGAGGTATACGGCGGGGCTGTCCCTTGTCGGGTCAGTTATATAGTATTGTGATTGAACCCTTATTATGTAGGTTGAGATGAGATCTTAAGGGGATACCTATAACAAAAGACCCCCATGGGATTCATGTTTCTTTGTCTGCTTATGCAGACGATGTCACAGTTTTGATCACTGCACAGGGAGACTTAAGAGAAGTTTGGAGATTTATGAAAAAGCATCTTCGGCAAAAGTGAATTGGGGTAATTGTGAAGGGTATTTAATTGGTCATTGGGCAGACACAGAAGTTCCTCAACTTCCAGGGGGGCTGATATGGGGAAGGGAGGCTTTAAAGGTTTTGGGTGTGTTTTTAGGGAATGGTTTATTTCAACAGAAAAGCTGGGAGGGTATGGTGGAGAAGGTATCGGCCCGGTTCTCTAAATGGAATTGGCTATTACCACGGTTGTCATACAGGGGGAGAGTGCTGGTGATGAATAACTTGGTTGCCTCCACGTTGTGGCATAGGATGATGGTTTTAGAGCCTCCTGAGGAGCTGATTGGTAGGCTACAGAAGAAAGCGGTAGATTTCTTTTGGAGTGGACAAAATTAGACTTGGGCAGCTGTGCTTTTTCTGCCGGTGGAGGAAGGAGGACAAGGCCTGGTGGATATACGGAGCCGAGTGAGGGCCTTTCGGCTGCAATCAGCAATAAGACTGCTTTACCAGAGAGATCTACCGTGGACTCAAACAGCCAGTAAAATCCTGCACAGGGCAGGGGCTTTGGGATATGACCTTCAGCTGTTCTGGATAAGACTGGCTGAAGTCAGTCTGTCTGGTCTCACTCCTTTTTACCAATCTCTTCTCCTGGTCTGGAAGACGGTTTTTGAGGTGTCCAGAGATGTTCAAAGTTCAACAGAGTGGATACTGGAAGAACCATTAGTGCATAACCCAGTGATACAGACCAGACTTCTGTCCTCAGCTAGCATGAGAGCATGCCTCTTGAGAAAGGGGTGCACAAAGCTGGGGCACTGCATGGCCGTCAATGGGTGGAAGTCACCCGTAGAACTCGGGGAGGTGACTGGACTACAGTCATGCAGAGTGGTCGCTAGACTGCTGGAAGAGGTAAAATCAGCCCTTCCTGGGTGTTATAGAGAACTGATGGCAAGAAGAGGGCTACAGAGACAGCAAGCAAGAGGACTGTCTGCTGCCGGCATGGAGGTCACATTGGCGATTCAGGTGGATTCCCACCTGGAACGTTGTTTCACATTCCGGATTTCGAGCGCTCTCAAGGAAGGCTCTGTACCATGCCTGTGTCAAAGTTGCACACCAGACTGATCTGCGGCATCAGAGTGATAAGGTGGCTGGAGTTGTTCAGGCTAGACCTCCTGAGGGACAGGTGGAGGTCCCTGTATAAACCCCCTATAGAGAAGCGTTCAGCCGATCTACAGTGGAGGATTATTCACAGGGCAATAGCTACAGACAGACACGTTGCCCAAATGAATCCATCAGTGGGGGGACAGTGTAGATTTTGTGGTGAGGATGAAACGATTGAGCATCTGTTTCTGCGCTGTGATAGGTTGAGAGGTTTGTATTTGTTTTTAAAAGTTTGTTTTGATGCTTTCAGCGAGGAATTCTCTGATAGAAGTTTTATTACTGGGGTGAAGTACAGGACTAGTAAGCGGAAGAAAATGTGTCTTTTAAATTATATTGTAGGGACAGCAAAATTAGCTATAAGGAAGACCAGAAAAAATAAGGCCACAGGTGCTGGCTGTGTGAATCCTGAGCTGATGTTAAAGTGGCTGATGGCAGGGCGGATTAGAGTGGAATATGAGTATTATAGGCTGGTAGACCAGGCAGAGGTGTTCAGCGATGTGTGGGGACAGAATGATGTACTGTGCCGTGTTGATGATGATTCTCACCTAGTCTTCAAGTTTTAACTGTGTTTTAACTTCATATATCTGGATGGATCTGTTGTGATAAAGGTGTAATTATATTGATGTAATAAAGATGTGTTAAATCTCTCTCTCTCTCTCTCTCTCTCTCTCTCTCTCTCTCTTTCTGTGGCTCTGAGTGAGGTTCTACCTTGCCGTCGCTGATGATGTCGAGACGGTGCCAGCGACGGTCGTTGACGGAGGCCTGAGGAGGAAGCTGTAGAGTGAGAGTGCCTGAACCGTGATTAACACTCAGCAACGGAACACCCTTCTTCAACTCTACAGAGAGTGCGATAGATAGAAAGATGGGGAGAGAGAGAGAGAGAGAGAGAGAGAGAGAGAGAGAGAGAGAGAGAGAGAGACGTTTAATATATCCTCAACGTATAATATTTTCGAAAAAAGTTTATTAAAAACTTTTAACAAATGTAGTATATATTATGAGATGAAGAAAGGAGAAGGAGGAAAGAAATAAATAAAGAAAGAAAGAAAGAGAGAGTGCATGTCAGTCACACACCATGTCAGACTAAAGAAAGTGAGAGAGAAATGAGAAAGAGAACGGAACATACACATGAAGAATGAGAGTAAAATACGGAGAGAAAGAAAAAGAAAGAAATTGAGACAAGGAGAGAGAGAGAAACAGATGGAGAGAAAAAGAGAGAAAAAGTGAGAAAGAGTGAAAGAGAGAGAGGAGAGAGAGAAAGGAGAGAAGTAGGGAAATCGAGAGATATGAAGGGAGAATGAGTGAGAAATTTTGCAGAATAGAAAAAAGAAAAAGAAAGAAAGAAAGAAAGAACGAATGAGAGAGCGCATGTCAGTCACACATCATGTCAGAGACTAAACGAATTGAGAGAAATGACAGTAGGAAACAGATGAAGAGAAAGAGTGAGAGATGGAGAGAAAAACTGAGAGAAAGAGAGAAAGAGGGAGAGACATATGGGAGAGAGATGCATGGGGAGAAAGAAAGTGAAAAAGAGACAGAGAGAGAGAGAGAGAGAGAGTTCTATAATTTCTGAGTGTATTAAGATGTTGATTACAGCTGTTTACTGTAAACTGTTCATTGATTCTCTTTTACACTCCAGTGTTCATCACTTTTATGAACCCAATTTCATCTTCAAACTGACTAACACATCACTCATGTAAGAGTGTGCAACATCACACTCCAGACGCAGTTGCTGGACTCGAGCGCGGCCTCCAGGTTCTGTATTGACCCCTGGTGGCGAAAAATGCTTCAGTGCAATCAATTGGTGGTCAAGTTCGATTTTCTGACTCTAATCTGGAGAGCACAGGGCCAGCCTGATAATTACACAACTACAGGCAACACGTATCAAACCCATGAGCTCAGCTTATTTAAGGCCACTGCAGGTCATTGTCTGGAAGTGTATGAGTTGCTGGAAAGGACAGAAGAGAGAGGACGGCATGTGAGCAAAGTTTGACCTTCACCGAGGGTCAGTTTCGGTGCTGATCCCATCAGCCTCCAGTGCTGACCACAGACCCATTTCCATTTAGACCCATTCATCACTAAGTGTTCAATCTTAGCCATGTTTGCTGTCACCCATCGATTATATTGCTGCAGTTAATTGGTGAGGGAAATTAATTTCTTGCATGGGCAATGTAAAAATCTTAAATCATGATGGTATCGATCGTGTGTGGCGTTTTCATTATCTGGATGACGCCTCGCTGGTTCTTCGGACTTTTCATTACAGGCTGGAACACAAACAGACACTGCAGAGGACAAGCGCAATACAGTCTAATGGAGTTTGTGTAATGTACCAAGTGAGATGAAGTCTTCTTTGTCTCCAGGCTGGAGGACGCCGAGGGGGCCGTTGTAGAGCAGCAGGCCGTTGGCTGCCTCCGTGATGAACTCCAGAGAGATGTGGCTCTGGAAGCAAGGCCTTAGGGGAGGGAACCAGGCGTAGCCGTCGCCAAGAAATGTGTGCTTAGTCTGCTGACACTCTGGCCCATCAAACATGGGGGGACACTTGCACCTAGGTAAGACGTGATCGCACATAATTAAAGGGGAATCTCATCAATTTTTCAAAATTTCAGCAGAATTAGATGGTTAAGCTAGATGGGTAAACAAAGTTGTCCAGAGTGGTTTGATGTGAAATGCTCCTTTCTAGGGAAACTTACTGAGTCAAGATTTTTCACAATGGAGGTGACTCAAAAGTCGCAGTTATAATTAGTGATAAAGGTACACATTTGCTGAATGTTAGAAGTGCAGACCTGAATCTGTCCATACAGCATATAAACTGTACGTAAATGTAATTCATCACATAATTAACTGTCACAATTTAAAGAGTATAGGAAATAAGTACCAAACAAAGATAGCAAACAAATATTGATGTTAATAAAGAAACATCGCAGTAGAGCTGTGGTCATACTTTCAGTAAATGCTTCAGTACCTGTAGCCCATCTCGCTGTCCACGCAGGTGCCCCCATTGAGGCAGGGGCTGCGGGGGTAGGACGAGCAGGACAGATGCTTGCTCTCCCTGGCCAGGCAGCCACACTGAGCACTGGCTGTAGCCGAAACAGACACCAGAGAGGCGTTTCCACTGTTCAGAACTGAAGGAGTGTCACTGAACGTCACCCTGCTGGAACAGCCACCTGCATGACTGCAGTCTGTGTACGCACATTCATTCACCCCCACCTGGAGAACAGTCACACCCAGAGCTGACTCCAACTGAGGGAGAGAGAGAGAGAGAGAGAGAGAGAGAGAGAGAGAGAGAGAGAGAGACAGAAGTGGAGAGAGACACAGCAAAAAGACAGAGAGAGAGAGAGATACAGACAGAGAGAGACAGAGAGAGAGAAACAAAGAAGGGGAGAGACAGCAAAAAGAAAAAGAGACAGAAAGAAAGAAGGAGACAGAGAAAAAGAAACAAAGAGAGAAAGAGAGAGAGAGAGAGAAAGTAACAAAAAAGAGAGAGACAAAAGAGAGACAGTGAGAAAGAGAGAAAGGGGGGGCAGAGAGAGAGCACGAGAGAGAAATGGGGTGAACAGAGAGCGGAGAAAATAGAAAAAGAAGACATAAACAAAAAAGAAGAGAGATCAAGAGAAAGGAAGAAAGTTAGAGACAAAGAGAGAGAAAGATGGATGGAGAAGAGAAGGACAGACAAAGAGGAGAGACAGAGAGTGAGTTAGAGACAGAAACAAATTGAGAGCGAGAGAGTGAGTGACAGACAGAGTGATAAAGAGAGAAAAAAAGAGAATGACAGTGAGATAAAAAGGGAGAGAAAGAGAAACAGAGCAAGAGAGAGAGAGAACAATGGAGAAAGAGAAAGAGAGAGATTTCAGTCGTATGTCAGATACCGCATTCTGCATCACAGAGTAAATCAAACACTGATGATAACAGCTGAATATTATGTTTTTGCTGCTTCAGTATAAGAATTAAAAAGAAAGTAGTTCACACACTGAGCTGTGACTGTTCGAGTGAGTGTGAGTGTGTATGTGTGTAAAAACGGCTAAAATCCATGTGTGAGTGCAGTCAGTCCCTCACATTCATTATAAGCGTTTGAAAAGCTGTCAGAGCAGCTTCCAGCACTTTGTGTAAACATTCATCTGGAGGAGACGGTCAGCTCCACACAGGCTGAGAGGAGCTCCCACTCACACACCTGATTTACACAGCCATTTGTTCTCTCCCTCCATTCCTGCTCCCCTCCCTCCTTTCTCAGCTCACCGGCCGTGGCCACGCTCTGTCGTTTCTTACCTTACATGGCCATGAAATATTCATAAAGGCTCGAACGGAGTGTCACTGCATGTTCCTGTGTAATGTGTTAGCTGCTGTCTGTGGTCATAGATGTGAAACAATGGATGTGGACAGGAATACAAACTGTGTTTGTGCGTGTGTTGGCTGTCACCTTGGTCTTGTGCATGGCCACACTGCCGTGGAGTTTCTCAGGCTTGTAGTAGGGAGAGCCATGGGCAGCGAACCACACGCTGAGGTGCTGTCGGTTGGGCTGAGTGCCGCTGGCCAGACTGAAGATGTGCACCTTCTCCAGGTCCGTCTGCAACAGCTCTGACAGCAGACGCTGCAGACGCTCGTAAAGACTTTCTCTGCCATCAGATATCCGGAACAACTCCTCTGCTGTCAGATCTGCACATAACAAACATGTTCGCTAGGGTTAAAACTATATTTCCAGTAAAAAAAAATCAAATTTGTACAACCCCACTTTTTTTCTTCAAATGTAAACTCATCAGCCAAGACATGCTTGGTATCTGAAGTTTGCACTGGAGCCACAACCTTCATGTAGGTGACAAAGCAACGGAAGCTTTGGGGGAAGAAATGTGCTGATCAGCCCATTCAAAACAACTTGAATCACCATTCAGTTCCCCATTGGGGAATTTTTGATAACAGATTAAAAAAGGCCCATATCATGAAATTCTTTGCATTTTTTAAATAAAAGAGTTTGATGTAGTATGTGAAGGTTATAAAACATACCAATCGCTACCCAGTCCATACAGTCCACATATAGAAACTAAGCTGCAAAAACAGCCTATTTTACAAACTGTTTCTGTGAATCTATGAAAATAAATTCATTGACATATATCTGCCTATTCAGTCTGCAGCGGTTTAAGCTCACCCATTCAACTGCCATTTGAACAAGGCGTAATGCAGGACAGCCAATCAGAACAGATGTTATTTACATATATCAGTATTAAAGGCATTATAACACAAGCAGCTTTTTTCTAAGGGATAAGGAGAGGTTGGAAAATACACAAAACCACACGAATGTTGTATGTGTTTACCTAAAATACAAGTAAAAAGCAGGATATGGGCCCTTAAAGCTGGAACTTTTGGGAAATAGTCCTTTATGTAATCACACAAGCACAAAAGCTATGAATACAATATAGTATCAGAATATATTGCTGAAGCACCTAACCATGAAGAGTAAAATACAGCAGGACTACAAAGGCTATGGCTCAGCACCAGCACTACTTAACGGGATCTGTGTTAGTTAGAGGCCTGCTACTCAACCCGGGCCTGGCGGCCCAGACAAGTTTTGGGTTCGGGTTGCTTTTATAGATACAAGATTGAGCTTTGGTTTGGTTTGATTTTTTTTAGTTAATTTTTAAAGGAACATTCCTATGTAAATTTCATGCACTCACACTCGTTTCTTCTCATGCATGCACTCTCTGTCTATGCATTCAGAAAAGCTCCAGAACATGCCCTGGATGAATGTGGCCCTGAACGAAACCTAGGGTGAACTTTAACAGTACAGTCTCATTCACACCATGGATGATGAGAGGGATGTGTTGACTTCAAAGTGGCTTCACAAGCAAATGATGCTAACAGTCAAACAGAGGTGAATGCTATTCTCTGCTGGGTACAATGAGCAATTCCACAAAATATACTGAAAATAAAGCAATTCCAGACATTTCTGTTGATCAAATCAAGCAATTAGTAACAAAGCAAAGCACAGTAAAAACGTGTATGCGATAATCTGTCTCTTAGCACGCTCATTTCTGGTTCATTGCTCATTCTGTTTTTTTCTTAGCACATTCATTTGCCAGTACCGGTCAGGCCTAGTTGGTTCAGCTCTAAAAGTCACGGGTACAGGACAGGTTCGTGCTTCAATTTAATGCCCATGCAGACCACTAGTGTTAGTGACGTCATCTACTCAAACGGCAGAGAGTGTCTGAGGAAATGCCTTCATCATACTACATCAAACTACATGGCTGAATCATCACACACTTGCTTCAAATCGCATCAAGCTGGTAAGTAATCCCAAACAGACTTGCTTATTTGGGTTCTGACACTGTATGACATATTGTCATCTATAAACATGGACAAAAGCACATTGCATAGTTAAACAATAGTATTAGTCATTTTGAAGTCTCAATTTTGTCTATACCTCTGTTTTAAAATGGATAATAGTATGTCAGCGTCAGACACCACCAGCTGTGAGAAAACATATTTGTGTAGCAATAGTGTAAAACTAAAGAAGCAATCTTAGCTGATCAACCACATTTGGCATAATTGGAAAATTATGTAAATTGACTGTCCGAGCCATTGCTTTAATGACAGTTTTCAGGAGAAGAATGTTGCAGCCCTGATCCACCATGTGATCCCCAGTGTGACTGAGTGCTGCTGTGAGTGAATGAGTAGTTAAGAAGCTAATTCACGCACTGGAGAACCGTAGTGAGCCAGCGTTGAGCAGGGCCTCTTCCTTCAGCTCCCTGACCTTCACCTGAGCCGTGGAGGTGACGTCAGGCCAAATCTTATCTGCCACCCGCACCTGCAGGCTGTACGAGCCGGCCGGGGTGCCACCCTTGATACTCAACTGACCAGTGCCCTGGTTCAGAATGAACTGTCTGTAAAGCGGAGAGAGAGAATAGAGAGAGAGAGAGAGAGAGAGAGAGAGAGAGAGAGAGAGAGAGGAAGCAAAGTGCATTAAAATACATCATAAAATTGTATCATAACATGCTTAACTGTAACTAATACTGACAAACTGCCCATCATACAGTAGTGTGCTCTAATAAACAGTGCCTGTTTTGTTTTCTTTGATAATTTCTAACTTTTTTAAATTGTAACTCAGGCTTTCAGTGTAAATAACACTTTCAAAGCCTTAATGTTTGTTCTTGTTATTCCAGCAATGCTTTGGCAAGACTATTGATATAATTAAGACCAACATGAGAGCAAGTGCCTGAACCATTCTTCTGAATTAGTTCGAACAGAAGTCCCACAGTAAAAAACTATTTAAAACTAATTAGATATTCAGAACTGAGATATTTACAAGGATTATGTTATGATCTATTCAAATCCAAGGCATTAATAGGGATAGTAAAAAGCTAAATATATACAAAATTATCATATATAGGGTACTTTCTATTGGGAGGTGGCCGTCCAAAACCCTAACCCTGAAATTTCAACTTCTGAAAATAATACTTTTTTTGTACTTGTTCAATGTTTTTTTTTAAAGATCATTATGATTTCTTTTGAAGCTGAAAAGAGTTAGATTTATCAGGTGTTATCATGAATTTGTCTGGAATCAAACAGGCCTACTAACAAGGAAAAACATCAATAAACATCTTGAATCAAGGCACTGTTTGGGTGTCCTCCTAACATCACCCTACAGACATCTACACTACGATGCATGTACTACAGCTGTGCTTAGCTGTGTTTATCGCCTCGGACAGCATGCGCCAAGGTCGGCAAACTCACGCTGGCTGCCGTTCAAATTAGATTTTAAAAGGTGCAGTCATGTTCACATAACAGCGATTGAGTTCCACGTCGCTGGTGACCTTCAGCTCCGGTGCCAAATTAGGTAATTAACTGTCAAGTAAGCAAATGAAACACTGCCCAGGTCGAAGAGACGCTGTAAGTGCCAAAAGTCACTAAGCTGCTGCGCTAAAGTGCTAATGTATTAATGTGTTAATTATCCCAATTAACAAGCGTGAGTACCTTAAAGAACATCTCAAAGGGGCTTCTTTTGGAGAAAACAGACAGGCAACAGCCTAGGACAGTGAACGTGACATTCATTATTTGTACGGATATTGACACGCGTTTTCCCTTAGCTCCTTTTGAAAAGTGTCACGTCTGTCACGGAGCTCGTACAGCAGGCTCGGTGTGATGCTCTTCACTATTTCATGCGCTGCTCATTAGAGTGAGCGTCCGTCACACATCAGTTTTCTTCATCAACCGCAACACGAGAATCACTGTCTTGCTTCAGAGTGAATTCTGAATCTCATTTTTGATGAACTATTAAAAGCATCCAGCACACGAGGTGTTGGAAATCACACTCTGCACATTGTCTCTGTCTCTTGCTCCCTCTCGCTCTCTCTCTCTCTTCCTCTATTCTTTGTTCTCATCACCTTCCTTGTTAAGTGGCAGCTGCCACTGCAGGGTTTGAACCAAACTTCAATAAAAGATCAAAGTACCTGGGGGGTTTGCCTTCGAATTTGTAAACCTTTTCGCTCCAGTCGTCAAGGTCAGGGGATTGAACTTGTCCAAGTACAGTCGTGGGGAGAGTACCTGGGGAAAAATACATAATGAGGTCATTGAGAAGCCACCTCACACAGACTCCGCAGTACCTAGGGCTGTGCGCAAGTGTGTGTGTGTATGTGTGTGTGGGAGGTGAGGGGGAAGAGACACACATCTTTAAGAGATAAGGGGGGAAAAAAGCAACTCATCTCACTGCCACATATGGACTCACTTAAGCCGCATGGTAGGGGGGCCAATGCTATTAGTATGCAATGCTGCCATTTCTCCAAAAGGCAAAACGAAGCACTGTAATCCTGTTAGGCATGAAATCAACAGCTTTTAAAATGGCTCCTGTTTATGTGCCTATTAAACCTGGGACTTAAGTAAATTGTTTGCTTCATGCCATGTTTGAGCTACATGATGAGTTCTTATTAGAAGGTTAATGCATTTCCATTGGGTAAGAAGGAAAGGCACTAAAAATACATCGACTCAAACCACATTTTCCCCCCTGAGTTTTATAGGATGCTGACAGCTGGCATGAAATGCTAAATAAATATTGTAGGAGAGAATACAGCCGTCGGCAATCAAGCAATGTAATTAGGATTGGCCCGAATAATTTGAATACTTGGGTATTTGTTTGTTACGTTGGTATTCAATTCTGTGTTTAGTATTTGGAAGATTTGTCTTTTTATCAAGACACAAAAATTATGGCCTAAACTACAACACCTTTCATCATCAAACACCTTTAAAAAGGACAAAGGCTGTTCCTATATGGAAAATGTCAAAAATAAATGAATTAAATCTTGTTTAGTTTATGCATCCATGGCACCTCACCTCAGAGCGCAACAAAATGCACATGCTTTCAGTGTGCCTATTGAAGCTAAAAGAGCAAAGATGGTTAAGGTTAGAAATAAGTGAACACAAGCGCCAATGCCCTGCCAATGCATTGCAAATGCATGGCCCTTCTGTACAAAGCCAATACAGGCTCTTACTTTACTGTGGGGGGTTAAAACGCTCAATACACAAGGGGGCGATAGAGGACAAACCAGAACAAGATCTTTGGTCATTCCAACAGCCACAACTATTGTGGACGATAACAGAGTGTGAGCTGCTTCCTGTTCCAACGGCATGAAGAAGTGATGTGTCATATATATGTTTATATGAGCAAACCATTTTTGTGAGAGCCTCATCCAACTGCTCATCTGCTATGTTGACCAGGAAAAAGCACACTGGCAGTGGGAGTCAGTTTGGTCAGGCTTTGCTGTTACTAGAGGACCCCTTGCTGTAACGCTTCTAATTCAGTTCACACTTGCTTAGCATTATAAATTGCATCATGACACATTTTAGAAAGCAACGAAGTGCAAAAGCACATCTGTGTAGCTCGAAACATCTGTGTACTTATGTGAAGTATGCACTTTAAATTATCGGAAGATAAGAAAAATGCTGCATGCATAATCTGCGGTAAGAGGTTGGTATGGAGGCACAAAATGTTTGATGAATCATCTCAAATATGTATGTGTAGTGATACTTAACGACTACCACTGTTGACGCCACCTGCTTTTCACTCTCACTGCTGCTAGCCAAATAGAATAGCTCAACAAAATATATAAAAGTAAATAACTAAAAGAAGCAGATAGGAAAACTGTGATTATGATAAACAAAATGATTATTCTAATAGCTCAACAAAATATATAAAAGTAAATAACTAAAAGAAGCAGATAGGAAAACTGTGATTATGATAAACAAAATGATAATTCTAAGCTGTTACATCATTTGCATATATGTAACTCAAAAAGGTTGTATTTGAATGAAAAGCCTACAATTGTAGCTTCAATAGCAACATAGAGCTGGGCTTCAGCCTGGACTACTAACACACTGCTGCTGCCTACTGGATATATTTTGAACTGCAAGAGTGATATTACAGTACAATACAATTATGGTCTATTATGAAATGTAAATATTGTTGTTTTTAAGGATTTTTGCTGTTCTTTAATAAATCTCGAAATGACGTTTCACAGAAACATACCTTCATAGTTGTAGACTATGAACTCAGAGTGTCCAGGTGCATGCGGGTGGTCATTCCTATCCCCAATTATGACAGTCAGTGTGTTAGTGGAGCTCATTGGAGGAGAGCCGCTGTCTATCATCAGAATAGGGAGGAGGTACTGTTTCTGCTGCTCCCGATCGAAAGTGCGCAGGGCTGTTATCATGGCACTGCCATTTCGCAGATCCGTCAGGTTAAAGTTTGTGACGTCTGAGGTGAGCATCAGCAGGCGTATGGAAAAAGGCCCTCCATTAGGCGAGGTGTCTCTGTCGATGGCGTGGAGCAGAATGGAAGTATCGTTCATACGGACGACCTGTGGTGCAATAGTGTTCTCCCACACAATGGGGCGGTATGGAGCGTCAAACTCTGGTCCGTTATCATTGACATCTTGTACTGTCACCAGCACAATGGCAGAACCTGTCAGAGCAGGGCTGCCCATGTCTGTGGCCAGAACCATCAGCCTGTGCTGAGACACCTTCTCCCGGTCCAAAGAGTCTGCCACCACCACCCAACCATTCTTATCCACCAGGAACTGCTGAAAGGGATCAGATTCTGGGGCAATACTGTAAGAGAACTTTCCATTCTGCCCTGAGTCCAGGTCTACGGCAGTCACCTGGGCCACAATGGTACCCACGGGTACATCCTCAAACATGGACCCTACATCGTAGAACTGGGGGAAGAAGACGGGTGTGTGGTCATTGGAGTCTTCCACTTGGATGACGCAGTAGGACAGGCTAAAGAAGTCTGCGTCCTCCACTTTGACTGTGAGATTGAAGGTGCGCTCATGGGGCTTCTCAAAATCGATCTTCTTCTTCAGCCGCACTATCCCCCGCCGGTTCACCTTATCCGTCTCGATGAAGAACTTGCGGTCATCATCTCCACCCACAATGCTGAAGGTCATCACAGAGTTCTCTCCCTCATCCCCATCTGTGGCAGCCACTGCTAGCACCTCACTATTGATATCCAGGTCCTCTGCCATGGTGGCCATGTAAACCCTCTGTGTAAACACAGGAGGATGATCATTCACATCGGATACAACAATAGTGGCTGTTCCAGTTCCAGAGAGGCCTCCTCCATCCCTGGCCTCCACAACTACCAGGTAACGGTCTTCCACCTCCCTGTCTAGGGAGCGCAACACTGTGTAGATGGTGCCTGTGGCCGGGTTGATGGAGAACAGGTTCAGATTGATCTCGTTACGGACATTCTGAACAATCCTGTAAGTGAGGACAGCGTTCTTGCCAGCTTTCGGGTCATCCAGGTCAGTGGCTCGCATCTCCATGATGGAAGTGTCAGCTGGAGAGTTCTCAGGCACATGGCCCACAAAGCAACCATCTGAGGCACACAGGAAGATAGGGGAATTGTCGTTGATGTCCTGCACCTCCACCAAGACGTCAGCAAAGCCAGTCAGGCCAGCGCCGTTCTCGTCAGTGGCCAGCACTAGAAACCTCCAGGTGGAACGATCCTCTCGATCAAGCCTCTTTTGAGCATAAATTTTCCCGCTGAGCTCCTCTATAGTGAACTCGCTCCCAGCACCCTGTCCATGCAGTGAGTACCGCACTGCACTCTGGTCTGCCTCCTGGTCTGGATCAGTGGCTGAGACCTGAACAACATCATGACAGAACAAGATTCCATTAATGACCAACATTAATGACTTGCACATGTTTTGCCAGCACCCAAACTGAGTCAAGGACAAGGATGTGTGGCTAGATTCAACATCTGTCACAAAACACAAAAGGCAATTAAAAGTTAATAGATACAGCAAAGAAATACAGAACTCCCCATCATCTCTCCCCAAGTTTGTTTACATAACGCCTTTGAAGTCTTTTTTATGCTGACAGCACAATAGGCAGTGATATGGGGAACTGCTGGAGGAGAGCGACAGCCGAGGCCAGGTATGTCAAAATATTCATTTCAAATCAAAAATATTCAGATTTTTCTCTCTCTATACTCCAAGAGCACATTAATAAACATAACAAAACATTTCAAGGGAGAACGTCATAAAACAGGAAACAATTTTCTGCATTAGACAGAAGGTGCAAATCAAATCGATTCCACCTCACAGGAAACTGGCAGTTCTTGACATAGGCCTCTCCAAAACATTAGCAGCATATTATGGATGTGGAAATACAGCATATCATACTGTATTGTATTGTCTCTTTGTATTGTGACTAGCATGTTAGTTTGGGGATAACATATTAGCTTGTGGATAGAGCATTAGATTGGGACACAATAAGGACAACTATTGTTTCAAATGTTGTGCTTTTACAATTTCTATATTGAAAATGGGAAGTTTCACATCTTAATGTTCAATCTTATGCAAATGTTTCAACACCCTGGTCAAATTACACGTTTTGTTGATTTTGTAAGTGAAAACAGGGTAAAACAGGCAACAAAACAAAATATTTTAGTGCACAATTTTTATGTGTTTGCTGAGTTTAACATAGAGAAAAAAAAAACATGAAATATACAATGTGCCATAACTTTTGCAGAAGCCACATCTTTTATTTTATTTTTTCCCCAGTATGTTGAATTCAGTAATTCATAAACAGTAAACTCTTGTTGTAACTATAATCTGATGATTAGCCATGCCTCCCACCTCAAGCACAAACACAGGCAGCTCAGTCAGCTCCTCCATCACGCTGGCGTGGTACTCTGTCTGGCTGAAGATGGGTGCTTCATCGTTTTGGTTGATGATGTTGATGATCACCATTGTCTGGTTCTCCCATTTCCCATCCGACGCCACCAGCCGTAACTCATAGCGCTGAACCCGCTCGTAGTCCAGCCGCTGGGCAATGAAGATGGTGCCAACCTCTGGCTCCACATCAAAGGTGCCCATGGTGTTCCCTGAGGTTATCTGGTAGCGCAGCTTGGCGTTAGCACCTGTTGGAGTATTGGTGGTTATTGACATGATGGCAACTTTACAGGAGAAAGCAAAAAAAAGATTTTTACTTTTAATGTAAGTTAATGTAAAGAGATTTTATCACAAGCATTTTTGGAGCATTTCTGCTGCTCCGTTCATCATAACTTTTTACGCAACATAAAGTGCAGCTGCTGGGCTCAAATGATGTAAAAAATAAAAACAAACACAAAATGACAAATTTTTTAAGTGTGACTCTTTGGAGATCAACTGATACACTATGTGTCCAAAAGTATCCAGACACCCCTTCTGATTAGTGAATTCAGCTTCTTTAAGGTGCACCTTTTGCTGATAGAGTTATTCAATGCATTGGGCTATGGATCAGTGAAACTGTGCTCTCTGGAGTGATGGGGCTCCAACCAATACCTTTGAGATGAGTTAGGGTGGAGTTTGTGATTCAGAACTAATCATCTAACATCAGAACCTGACCTCACTAATGCTCTGCTAAAGCCTTCTCAGAAGAGTAGAGGCTGTTACTGCAGCAAAGGGGGACAAACTCTCTATTCATATTCTTGATTTCAGAAGAAGCATCAGATTGACCGCTTACCTACAAACCTTTGAACATATAGTGGAGCATATTAACTCTCATATGCCTAAAATGGTCATGAAATCACATGATTAGTTTGCCTTCATTCCTGTGCATGCAGTAAATGAACGTTAAAAACTTCAGTGTTTTTTGTACAAAAAGAGAAAAATTGAAAAAAAACTACTTGCTTAAAAAATGTGGATTTTTCAGCAGTAAAATGGTTAAAATGTCCATCCCTAATGGTACTGCTCTGAACAAAATACGGCAGTGGCACAGTGGTAAATTGCCATTCATTAACATTCATAAAGGTTGCAGGCTGTAAGTCTTTCATGGTACACCAAAGAATTAAGATTAATTGAGACCTACAGCTATTCTTCCACTGTACTCGGTCAGTGCAGCCTTGATTAAGGAATGTCCCATGTTGTGATAAAAAGATGATACAACATAAAAGCTTCCACTTTCAGGGTTAGAGTTTTGCAGAGCTCTTCAGATCTCTAGAATGAAAGAGCTCTTTCTTTAACAAATGCGAAGAACTTGAACAAATGGATGTACATGAACTCACATAACATGCAAACACACAGTCTGCCTCCAATTAACTGTACAATTTCTTTTGACCTTTTGTTGATGCGTATAAGCCCCGAGACTCAGGGTAAGCAGTAATCTAAGATGTTCTGCTTTTCGGCCCTTTTGGCTGCTACACAGTTCAGCAGTTCAAACAGAGGTACATCAGAACCCCATGAGCCTTTCATCCTCCTCTCTTTTTTCCTCCATCCAGTCATTAAATCCCACACGCTCGGTGAGTGTCATCAATGATCACAGGTTATGCAATCCTTTTGCTTTGCAGAGAACTGCAGCGACTCGGCCCACTCACAGAGTTCCATTTACACTGACCTGGTCTTCCTATTTGACCCCAATAATAGCAACATAGTGCAGTACAGGGAGCAAGTCTCGAGAATGGCTCTAATTAAGGGCTCATGTGAGAGGTAGAGGACTATGCATGCAGATGTATAGAACAAACAGGAACAGACAAGCAACAAAGCCCTCTGTCCTCTCCGCTTAAGACCCCCACCCTCCTGGCCCTGTCCACCCTCCGTGCAGAGAGCGGAAAACAACTCTCGCTCCGGCTCTGTTTACCAGCCTGGATCAGATTTTTTGAGACAAACACCATCTGGGCGCTATGTGTGAGGATTTCATTAGGACGTGTCGTGCTCATCCTGGCCGCAGCCATCAGGGCCGTGAAGCACGATGTGCCCTGACACTTGCTGACGGCAGCCCAGACGCTTTGGCCCAAAGCACTTTCCTTAATGACCAGCTGCCTCATATGGTGCCCCCCTCGCAGCAGCACTAGAGGCTGCAGGGCCTACACCTCACCAGCCTGCACTCTCTCAACCAGGCTCCTGGAGTGACCCTGTCCTGCATATTTTGGCGTTTTTTCTGCCCTAGCACACCTGATCCAACTAATCAGCCAATTAACAAACACCTATTTAGTTGTAGTGGGCTTAAGTGGTATCGGTTTTCTTGGAAAAAGGAATTTCCTAGCAGGAAACACCACATGAACACCCATGTTGCATTGATATTTTTATCATGGCGGATGAAGGAAGCAAAAAGTGTACAAATAGATGCCAGCTAATTTATAAACTACAACCACCATGTCACATCCTCTAGGTCTGGTTTACCTCCCATATAAACCACATGAATGTGCACGTTGAATGAACGAGCGCTTCTTTGAAGAAAATGACCACCTGACACCTGAAAACAGCATTAGAGCAGCAGGGGTACTCCACTGCTGGAATTGGGGACCACCACCTTCATTTTTTTCATTTCCAGCAAAAATGGCCATTACGTATGAAGTATTAGGTATACAAGATTGCATAAGGAAAGGGAATGTCAAAAGAAAATATGTGAAAAAAAAAGTTCCCAAAAAATCAAGCTCCACTCCTGCTTCAGGTCTAAAAAAGTCCAGACCTCAATATCACTGAATGCGTTTGGGAATACTTGAATTATGAGAAGCAGAAAATGCAACTAACTTCTAAGACTGAACTTTGGAGGTGTGGAAAAATATATCTGCAGATTTCTTTAAAAACTGAAAGCAAGTCCAGTGAAAGAACTGAAGCTGTATCTAAGTTAAAGGATAGACACAAAATTCTATTATTATTAAGTTGTTGAGGCTTCTGGGAAGTCTTCTCTTAAATGTACATTTTCTACTTTTTCCTGATGCTGAAAAATCAAATAAATAAACCAAATGTGCTTTCTAATCTCTAACTGGTATAATCTTTATATTATGTGGTCTTTATAAAGGTTTATCTCACTCATTTCATTACGCAAAATAGTTCTTTACACATCAAAATCAAAAGTGGCTATTCAATGGCATCCATTCAAAGAACAAGTTCTTTTACTTTTAGAAGTGTAGTTCCTTTGTGCACGTCTCTATGTCTTGCTCTCCTGTTGCAGGTTCAAACCTCTACAAAAGTGATCTTAAAAGACCTTGGTTATGGAAGTTCTACATATTGGAAACTCTGTAGTCCTTAACTGAAATCTGAACTAAAAAGGATGATTCTGACAAAAAAAGGATGAGTCTAATAAGCTTTGGGAAACATTTAATAGGACCATAAAATTCCTTCATTCCCCATGGATCAGGCCCTAATTGTTCCAATTTCCCACTTTCATCCCCAGTGTAATATGAAGTACTGGGATTAAATGAGCGGCTCATTCCAAAGACTCGAGGTGGATGGGGCACCATTCGGTTCTGATTTGCATTCCTGCTTGCCTGAAATATTAGCTGTCCGGCAGCCCAGCACTGTCCATCCAGGCGTGCCACCCTTGTTTCTCCACCAGGGCTGCTGTTTCGTCATTATTGAGCTTTCAGACACCTGCGCTGGACGCTGGCACCTCCTCTGGCCTCTTGCTCTTGCTGGCTCAGTGGTGATGGCTACATGCCACATTATATTTGTCATGCGTGTGTCTACTGCATGTAACAGGTGATGCCATGTCACCACGGCGCGAGCCCTCGCAGCCCTGCCTGTTTGTTTATGATGACAGATGAGCACGGATCACCTTCTGCGCAGATGAGAATTGGAGAGAGATCAGGCGCAGTAATCCTGTTACTGAACCGGTCCGGGGTGACAGGCCAGAAGAGTCCAGCGGCGGGGGAGATGATGTGGGGGCGAGAAGACAGGCAGACTGGCACACTCCACTGGACAGAAAGGTGACGTGTCCAAGCCTGTCTCACTCAAACAGACAGGGGCAACACTGTGCGTGTCAGTGCTACGGCTCGAAGGGGACAGGCCAAAGCCTGACTGGACAGAGAGCTGATTTGGACAGACTAATTCAAGTACGGATTACACAAGTGCACGCTAACTCAAGTAAGCATGTGAAATGCCACTTTCAAAAGCTGCTGATGAATCTGATGAAAATGCTCTGCATTGCTAGGGGATGTTTTGGGAGGTCGAGTTAATCTGAAGGATGCTCAGCTCTCAGAAGACATAAACAAAGCATCCACAAAACAGCAGAGCTTCATTTGAGAGGTCAAGCACTGTGTCCTATTAAGGTAAGGGGCTCTGAGGGAGATGCTCACGCTGGCTAATGCTGACGTATTGCATTACTGGGTCAAACAATGCAGGCCACACTCCATCATATCCACTTTGTATAGTCACATTTTGTCTGCGGGGGACAGCATGCGCAATGTTCTCAGCAGAGAAACAGAAATAAATATACACACATACAGAGTCAAGCAGTGAGGAAGAGGAAGATGGAGGCAAGGGGGGGGGAGAGGTGGAGCAACCCAGCTTCATTCTGAGGCCAGGAGCTACTGAGCTGAAATCCTCCCAGAAGACATGCCTGATCAGCAAGGCTGCCGCTTAATGGGATTGTGTCATGTTTTATGGATTATCTCCGGCTAATACAGATCATCTGCCTGCTTGGACACCTGTGCCAAGAGCGGAGACAAAACAACTGCAGGTTGTTTCTCTCCTAGCCTTTTCTTCTGGTTAAGGCCATTTTCCTCTCATTAGCAGATTAACTGCTGATAACGTGCCTTTTTAAGGGGGCGAGGTGGTGTTTACGAAGGATTAAGTATAATATTGATGACACACGACAATTTCACAGTTTGCATGTGTCTTGGTTCTTCACCCAATTACTCTTCCGATATAGCGTGGCTCCATAATATAATATAACGCCAGCTAAATTTGGCATACTTCTACTTTTTTTAAGGACTTTATTCAAAAACAGTCTTTCTACTCCATCGCTCGGACGCAGAGGCAGAGCCTGGAAAGAAATCAGAACATCTCCGGTAAATAATCTTCAAGTCTCAGCACCTTCCCCACAAAGGATTTGCCTATGTCATTAAACAAACCTCTCTTATTTATTTATTATCTTGGAAAACAACAAGGGACGAACAAAAACAAAGATACCGACATCAAATAATTACCTCAGGGGGGATGAGTGTGTTGCTCCCACCATCACCACAGAGATTTGCTAACAAGCTTGGCAGAAAAAAAGAGAATTTTCCACCTAGATTTACCTCATACTATATGTTTTTTTCGGTAATGGCTGTCAAAACACCACAGATAGAGGTTGAGGAAACCGTATTAAAAACAGACAGGTGACAGGGATCCTTAAATAAGATGTTTCCATTGCAGGGGCCAGGCAGCTGCCTAACCCTTATGGGAGAGTATACTGCAGGCGTAAATTGCGCTACCAAAGCAAAACTAACGGAATAGTGATGGGCCTTTCTTGTGCTACAATAGCGACTGCAGACAGTGGTCTTACCTTCGTCTTCATCGTTAGCAGTGACGGTAATGACTACGTAGCCCACTTCCTTGTCCTCTTCCACGCTGATCTCGTATACGGGCTGAGAGAAGGCTGGAGCGTTGTCATTCACGTCCGTGACAAAAATTCTCACGTAGGCCGTGTCTGTGTGGAAAATGGAGAGTGTACTACAGTTCATAATGCGTTACATGCCGAGGTGGATAGTGCCCAGTTACATGTACTTGAGTACAGTTTTGTAATAGGCATGCAGCGATCATGAATTTACATGGTGAATTCAGATTCAGATTTCTTAAAAATTGGTAGATAGCGAATTTTTATTTTTTAACCCGAAGATCACACTGTGTGGACTAAATGAACAAATGAAACACACTAACATATTCTCAGTACATTCTAAAAGCCTCAACTGCCCTTTAATGGATCAAACTCGCATGTTCAAGGGCCCATGTCCTACATTTTTCTTTTTATTCATCCGAGGTCCAGTTTTGACATTTGTGTGGTCTGTGTACATTTATTAGTGAATAATAGGACAACATTTATTTCTCTAATAAAGGTAGTATTAATCATAATATAGCACTGATGTTTCATTTTTCTGTAAAGTCTGATCCTAACAACTTATGGAACAAAAAAATATTTTTTAAAATGGCCTATAATGCATTTCGCAACAAAACCCTTTAATTAATTTTCTAATGCCCTTTATATCCTTAAGACTGACATATGTAAATAAGCTCTGCTCTGACTGGCTGGCCTGCATTGTGCCCCATTCAAAACGCAGTTACACTCCTTATAACTTCAGTATGAACAGGCTGAATAAGTAGATATTTGACAGGTGACAGGATAGGTGATATGACAAAAGCAATGAATTCAAAACAGGCTGTTTTTGCAGCTTAGTTTCCACATATGAACTCTATGGACAGGAAAGTGTACAGTACATTTTGAAATGTTAACAATGTCTACATACCATGTCAAACTCATTTTAAAAAATTAGGAAAATAAGGGAACAGAGCCTGACAAACTGCATGTGCTGTTAGATGCTGCATGTACTAACAAGTTCCACTGCAGTTCTATAAGTTATTCAGTAGTTGAAAAGTAACACTTTTTTTTTACCTATTTACCTATTTAACACAAATACTTTTACTGGAGTGTGACTTTAAGCTACTACTCATCTCTGATGTCAGTAGAAATCATTTTGAATTAAAAATTAATAATTGCTTAAAGGGCAGGTGTGGATCATATCCACATCCAATCAGAGACAAAAAACATCCTGTATAATAATATTATGGCCTTCTGTGTTACATCATTGGACTAGGATCATCATTATCGACCCTCAGCAATGACACTATTTCTTCATTAGAAGTGACTTAATGATGTGTTAATGAGTGGAGCTGGTCCTGCAGGCTGGCCTGCTCTGACATTACTGGTGATGTGACAGGTGGGCAGATCTGAACAGGGTAAAGGAGCACACCTGTGTTTGGCTGGCCCTGCTGCCCCGGGCGGGCCGACTCTGAGCCGTCCTGGGACTGGACCTCGATCAGGTAAGAGCTTTTCTGCTCGCGGTCGAAAGTGGCCCGGGTGTGGATGACCCCCGTGTAGGAGTTAATGCTGAAGAACTGAGAGTCTCCACTCTGGTCCTTTAGAATGATGTAATTTATCTTGAAGGGAAAAAGGTACAGTCAGGTCAATCCAAACAGAGTTATTTCAGATAACTAGGCGTAAGTCGGGTGCACTCTGTTTGGAGCAAAAATGTAATTTGATGCAAATTCTATGTACCCCAGCATCTGCCTTAAATAATGTATTATAAAAGCAACAACAAGCTTTTTCCTGAAAAAAAGGAGAATGCAGTAGGTCTTAATTCATCAGACTCAAAACAAAAATCAAACAAAACAAAAAAACAAAATCTCATCTATCGTCACTTAACGATGTATAAGAATAAAGCCCTCACAGGCGTGTCGAGTGGTGTATGCTCAGTGGGGACTCACTCACCTTGCCATGGGGGCCAGAGTCCAGGTCAGAGGCTGAGACTTGGACCACTGAAGTGCCTATCTCAGCTCCCTCGGGCACTGTGGCTTCATACGTGCTCGACATGAAGAACGGAACATTGTCATTCACATCTGAGTGATGGAGGAGAGGGAGACAGAAAGAGAGAGAGATGGAGTGAGAGTATGAACACACTGTATTGTGTCTGAAGAGAATACATAATATACAGCAGGTTTCAGAGAGATCGTACTCGTCTGATACTCTTGTAACTCATCCGATACTCTTGTTTTAGAACATTACACGCATAATTTCTTTGCTTGACCAATCAACACTTATCAAGCTTAAAACAGAGAGTTGATATAAGCCTCTCCCAGATAGAAATCTGTATTTTTTCACTGTGTATGTGGTGTGAAGAATCTGATCAATCAATGAAAAGTTCAGAAAAGCAAATTTTGTGTGCTCAGCCCTCAGCTACTGGCAAAGGTTAACCACTACTTTTGACAAAAGAAGGTTCACTGCTCATTTTGGATAGTGAACAAAATGGCTATATGGTCAGTAGGTTCTTTCTAGAATAAAGCATTTCATATCAAACTATTCTGAATGACTGTTTAAATGCAGTAACCTTGAAAAATTCGTGGAATTCCCCTTTGACATGCAATAGATATGAGACGGCCTATTCCTCTATGGCAGAGCGTCTGAGGCTTAGGTGATTTTGTGCCTGATTTTGACTACTTCACAGTCGTCCAGTCACAAACTGTACAATGTTTTGATGTTTTTCCCTTACAAATCCCAGCATACCCACCTATCCAGACCCCACAATGTCGCTGATGGAGAATTCATTACTGAGCGAAATTTTGAGAACCTGTCAGGTGAAACTGGTGTTCTACAACCATTGTTTCATTGTAGACCGGGCTTTAGTGATAGTATTCTTTAAAACTGCAGTCTAGAACCTTCTAAAACTCCACTGTCTCATCTTGATCATGAACTGTCTTAAGGACTAAATGAAATCCCTCAGCTTAGAGCAGTGCAGCTAATGTTTTATACCTGTGAGAGGCACTGAGAATGCTGTCGGGTTCACTGCGGGCAGGGGTGTGTATGGGTGAGTGAGTGGCTGTTCCCCGCAGCGCGCTGATTACAGCGCCTCTCTAACGAGCTTTCCGAGGGCTTTTGTCTTCCTTTCATTCCATTTCAATCTCCATTTTCCCACTAATTAATGCTGATACGGTCTCAAGTGTTGTGCTTCCCTGCTGTAGCTGCTTACTGCTCCCCAAACACACACCCACCCACCCACACACACACACACACACACACACACACACACATACATAACCATAGCTACCTGTCACACACTCATCAGTGTCATGTATCTCCGTGCACCTCCAGCAACAGAGCACGCATTCGGTACACAAACGTACAGCACTGGCTAAATTAGGTATGAAGGAAAGGAACATTAATGTCAGCCTTGCTTTAATTCAAACGCAGTCACAGAATCAGAGCAGACTGCTGTGTGAGGAACGGTGAGCGGCACAGGCAGGAAACGCTGGTAAATAAACCCACCCAGGGCAGATCTGCAGCGTGGCGCTGGTTGTCAACGCATATTTGCACCGGGTTGTATATTGATGTCAACTTCTTTTCTTTTCTCCTTTCTTTACTGTTCTTTTTTCTTTCTTTTTCTTTGCTTAGTTCTGTTCAATGCTGTTCTTTTCTCAGTGAGGTTTTAACCCATTTGGTACACACTACAGTAATTCACTACATAAAATTACATAGTAGTTTCATAGTAAATAATCATTAAAAGAATAATTGTTTTTCCACTGTGCATACAAAAACAAGAACTGACCCAAATATCAACCAAAAGAACCTGGTTCTAGTTCTAGTTCCTGCTTGAGAGACAGCTGGAACCATCATAGTAACTGTGATTTAAATCTTGAATTGCTTTTTGCCATTTTTGCCACTGTAATCTAATTGGCTATCTTGCTAACAGGTGATCTTAGCTTAACGCTACTTGTGCTGATATGAAATTATAAGGTGTGCTGTTCTGCAGTCACATACAAATGTCCACAATTACACAAAATTATGTGACTGAATCAAACCGAGCTTATATTTTTCTCTGTTGAGTGTAAAAATATGCAAAAACTCATTCTACAGAGGCAAGCATAAATGTGTTTGTCCTAACTGTGAAGGAAATGTGCTTCCTAACTAGCTCAGACCACCTTAGCACACTCTTTACAAAGTAATAATTGTAAAAATTGTGATCTGTATATCAACACCCAATCCTGCTTTACATTCTGTTGCACTTATTCATGATATAATAATGCTCGGTGACTTTATTGTCACCTGAGAGAGTGAAGAATTTGCTAAATTGTTGTTGCCTTCATCTGCAAATGTCAGCAAAAGCAGAGAACACCCCCAAGTACCATTAGATTCTATTTGTACCAATTTTAAACAGGTAGAAAAAAAAACAAAAAAAAACTGGACCCTTCAGTACTGTGCCACTGACCAACGGAAAAAGCACAGTTCCAATTTTGAACTGCGAAAACCAACATACCAGCTACTGGATCAGAACTCCTAACAGTAATAACTGAATAATAAGCCAAGGTTCAGGGGTTAAAGAGATATTTTCTGTGTGGACAGTCCTGCCAATAGGTTGCCAGCTTAGCCCTGTGAAATTCTTGGATGCTTGATCAGTGGCCCTGTCCTGTAAAGTTACCATTTTGGAGCTGCTTGTTTTTCTTTGGACAGCGACAATATGAAAAATCTTGGCAGCCTGGACCTGGCTGACATTTGTGGAATTACTTATTTCCTGAACAGACAACCTGGACAATCTAGGGAAATCCTGGACAGGTGGCAGCCCTAGTTGGCACTGAAATAAAGCCCTAACTGTAGTGACTGCTGTTAGTGTGTTGGGTGTAAGAGCTCATCAGTGAGTATATGTGAAAGTGACTTTTACCCGTGATGTTGACATAGACTGTGGTGAAGGATGCGAGTGGGACTGCTGCTACGTTCTGCACACGGACGCGTAGGGTGAAGAAGCGCGTGCTCTCGTAGTCCAGCGGCTCAGCTACCAGAATGGACGCTGAGCCATCCCTCCGGTTGGGCTTGATGTAGAAGCGCACAGGCATGTTAGTCTCAGGCACCTGACCCTCCTCCAGGTTATAGGTCACACGCGGGTCACCCAGCGGAGAGGTGGCTTTTATGGTCTGTAAACATAAACAGAACATTTCTTATTACTGTTACTGCAAAAATATATGGTAAATTAAATGTTTTGGAGTGCAATAACTAAAGTTTGTCAGGAGGACCATGCCTGGAGCTCCTCCTCCTTCCAATATAACTTCCAAATTTCTTTCCAAATTACAAATTTCTTAATTTTCCTACAAAATCTTCTGTTTCTTGTGATTAAGCTATTGCGCCTCGCCACTTCCCCATATCCTCATTTCAGGAGTTCAATCTCTCCTTCAGTTCAGTCTTTCACTTCTATCTCACTCCATCAAAAGGGGGTCTGGATTATTATCTTAGTACATACATACTTATATAATACTACATATACATATCTACATATTAGTAGTTCTAGCTTTGTACTTAGTAGAACCCAACCCACGTTCTCAGAGTTCTCTCACCTCCTTCAGTCATACAGGCCTTTCTCATACTATGACCATATGTTGAATGTGTGGTCTAAACTAGTCAACATAAATTGGAAATCATAACTTACGTAGTTCTGTGTCAGGGTGGGTCTCTAAGCTATCTGAGAGTTTTTCTCAGTGATAAGAGGGGGAGGAGAAATATGATATTATTGATTAATATAATTTTATCCCACCTACTGGTGATGTAAACAAAAATCAGATGTTTTAGAGGTGGGCAAAAGATAACATATTTTAATGACAGGAAAACAACAGTTTTGTTTTAAAACAATATACAGTGCGCTTCATAATGTTTGGGACACAGGTATATGTATTTTTTATTTGCCTCTAAACTCCATCAGCTTTACATTTGTACTCAAACAATTTATATATGGTTAAAGTGCACATTCTCAGATTTAATAAAGGGTATTTTTATACATTTTAATTTTACAATGTAGAAATTACAGCACATTTTATACATAGTTGTCCCCCATTTCAAGGCACCATAATGTTTGGGACATAGGGCTTCATCAGTGTTTGTGATTACTCAGGTGCTTAACGGCTCCATTAGTGCAGGTATAAGAGAGCTTTCAGCATTTAGACTTTTGTTCACATTGAATTCTGAGGTGTACAGAAACGTCAGCTAAAATTCAGAAAAATGCCTTCAGACTCATTCGATGGTGCTTCGTCCTACAGGAAGACAATGATCCCAAACATACTGTCAAAGCAACAAAGGAGTTTCTCAAAGCTAAATAAAGTCATGCACCTGATCTGAATCCTGTTGAGCATTCCTTTCCTATGCTGAATACAAAACTTAAAGGAACTAGCCCCCTGAATCAGACAGGAGGTGAAGACTGCTGCATTAAAAGCATGGCAGAGCATCACCAGAGAAGACACTCAACACCCGGTGATGCCTATGAGTCACCGACTTCAAGCAGTCATTGCATGAAAAGGATATGCAACAAAGTACTAAACAGGACTAATTTATTGCTACATACATACCAAACATTATGGTGTCAATGTGCACTTTCACCACATGTGAATTGTTTAAGTACACATTTAAAACTGTGTACAAAGACAAATAAAAAAGAAAGTATCTTTGTCCCAAAGATAGAGGTCACTGTATGATGAGATGAATCATGCTGATCTTACAAGCTAAAAAAAGGTCAATTTTGCTTTCAGGTTCACTTTAAATATTGTCTGATTCCATCATTCTCATAATATTGAATTTCAGTGTCAAATCAATACTGTACGCCACCAGTGTGCGTATGTGTGGTTGTTTCTACTGAGCATCTCTGAGTGACTGTGTGAGCTAATAGAGTGAAAGGTGCTTGGCCGTGCTATAATTGTTCAGGGAGAAGAGTTTGTTTTTTCGTTTTGTACTTTTTTTTTTTCCCCCAAACGGTATTAATGAAAAAGTGACGATGACTAAGGAAAATGGTCTTTTTGCTTGAGCTCATGGAGGATAATTAGCATTATTTGTGAAAGGGCATTCTAAATCAGCAGAAACGTCAGTCATGGCACTGCTGACTCCAGCACATGAATACATTAGACACAGTTCACCTGTAATCCATCTAATTTCCTATTGAACTCATATTGACATTTATAGAGTAACTTTCTGCTGAAAGAGTCTCTGGACTCACTCCTCATCGAGCTGCATCTCCCTCAAAAACCCCCCTCCCGCCACACACACACACATCCGCCACCCTCCCGTCTCGCTCACTAAGCTGATGTGCCGCGAAATCAGAGCATCCAGAAACACAACAGGACACATATCAGGGTAACGCACACCTGGCTCCACGGTCGACCAAAAAAGTGACATTTCACAGACACAGTGATAGGTTTAAAATGGTATCCCTACTGACAGCTTCCTTAGCAAACACCGCAGGAGCTTTAAAAGCTTAGTATGAAACTCAGCATTAGGTTTCTTAAGCAGAGTCTTTGGAGTGATTCTAAACAGCTAAAGCAGTGCTCCCACAGTGAAGGGTTGACTTGAGGTTGAGGCTTCGCTGTGACATACGGTCACAGGCACTAAAGTGCATTTGTTGTGCTCTCCTTGGCAGAGTTACTCTGTTTACCATCATTAAAGGGTTCATTTCATGTGAAACTAAATTCCTCACTTTTTTATGTACTTTGTAAACAATGTTACCCATTCACTCCCCAGTCCATAGGGTCAACATGAGGAAACTAAAGTGTTAAAAAAAAAAAGCTCATTTTGAATTGCTTTTGTGATGTCACAATTTTTTTTACAAAAGGTTTGGAATCACCTGCTATATTTTTAATATATATTATTTTATATACAATAATAACATATATATATATATATATATATATATATACAGAACTTATACAGTGTGGGTTTAAATATTGTCATTCAAATATTGTCTACATTTTATTTTTTATAGGTTTTATTCAAAATTTCAAGTATTTTGTGCACAATGTTATAATAAGCTCCCTGGACCAAAAAATTAGTCACCTTGAGTGTTAAGGTGGTAGTAACATCCTGCAGATGGGGTTGCACGAGATTGACTGGGCTATAAATACCTGTGACGAGATTCACAGATTGAGAAGAGCTGGTACTGTGCAGTAAATGTCTCATTCGATGTGGGGAAAATGGGCCACAAAGCAGATGTTAATGATTGGCAAAAAGGAGTGATTGCATTTGTGCGTGCCAAAGACCATAGTGTGAAGGAAGTAGCTGAATTTTCAGGTGTATCGAAGCGTACGGTCATACGGGTGGCAAAACTGCATACCATGAACATATGGAGTGGCATGCAAATGGCCTTTGCTCACCTCTGCTCACAAAGCTGCCTGGGTACAGTGGACGAAGAGACATAAAAAATGGGCTGTTCATGACTGGAAACTGGCTACCTGGTCAGATGAATCTTGTTTCTGCCTGTATGTGAATGATGCTAGGTGTCGTGTTCATCATAGACCTCAGGAAGCAGGGTTTGGTTCAAGATGGAGGAGGCTCTGAGATGTTCTGGGTGTGTTTTAATTACATGGAAATGGGTCCTTTGGTTGAGGTGACAGTAAATTTGAACAACAGTGCCTACATTGAGCTGCTGGACAACTAGGTTTTGCCTTTTGCTCATCATCTTACCGAGGAACATAAAATTCCTATCCCTACATTCCAAGATGATAATTCTCACGTTCACAGGGCTGCAAATGTGATTGATTGGCATGATGAACAGTGAGGAGGAAGGCATCCACGAAATCTGGCTGAACTGCGCAATTCTTTGCTGCATAAGTGGCTAAACGTTTATGTTGCCTACATCCAGAATCTTGTCCAGTCCAAGACAAATTGAATCGCAGCTGCTATTCGTGCTTGTGGAGGTACTATACACTATTAGGCACGTATCAGCCACAGGTGACTGATTTTTGGTCCACTGAGCTTATACTGTAATTATCTTTTAAATTAATCATTACCTGCCTTAAGAATTGATATCTGCTTTTGTAATATCATGAATACTCTATATGGATTTTATTATAACTTGATTCCCCATGTTCTACTCAGCTTTCTCAGTCATTTTGAAATCATCTACAGCTCTGTTCATCACTCTGGACACACCCAAAATGTATTAATTTTTATTTACAGCTTCATACACTGTTTTTTCCAGATGAAAATTTCATATTTGTACCTTTTCATAGCCTAATGTTTTAAAGCAGAAGAATGAAATGAAAAGCCTGAAGATGAGATGGGGTGTGTGGAGTCAGTACAACTTAGAAAATATAATTTCAGTGGATTATGGTACAATTATGTTCCCTGACTAAAGGTACTGAGATGTACTCTTGAGGGTACCACCCTAGTGACAAGAGGGGCACTGCCCCAGTGACAGTTTCAGACCTGTATTTCTGAGAGCGTAGTGTCCTACTAATTATTTAAAAGCTGTGAAGTGGTACAGGACGAACACACTGGAATAATTTATATACTTTTCCGCAAACAAATCAGTTTTATATAATTGAAAACATTGATACCAAAATTTTGAACGCTAGTTTACATCTTCTAATACCTTCTATCTATTCTGCCTACAGTCGTTTAGCTCCACTTATTCATGCGGAAGTTAAATGATGCAGTCCATCAGAATAGAGGTCATTTACATATATCAGAAATCAAAACTTTGTTTTAAAAAATGTTATTAATAGACATTGGAGAAAAAAATTAAATAGGAAAAAAAAATAAAATAGGGGCCCTTTAAGTAAACCCGTAGTCTGTGTTTGGTCTTATTGATACATGACAGGGTTTCATGTGCATCAAAGGGAGGTACACGTGGAGCTGTTAGCCTTCCAGAAAGGTGGCACTGTTACATGAAGAGGAAGAAACTGCTGACTGCCTGCACAATTCTGACTTCATGACAAAGACTTTCAGATAGGAGTTACTGCTATGGCAATATTGTATTCTTTTGTAATAATTAAATTATACACTTTTCTAGGTACATTGAAGGTATTTAATAAAGGGTATTTAAACTTAATCACTTAACAACTGCACACAGTATAAAAAACACACAAAACCTCTGAAACCATCCTAAAAACAACCAGTGGAAAGTGTGTATAACCTTCATAGTAACAAATAGCTGACTGAA